GGAGCAGGTGCTGCTGGTACCTGGGGTGAGAGGAGCCGCTGGACCCTTCAGCCCAGTGGTCTCCACGATGCTCCCATCAGTGTGGACGACGATCAGCGTGGCCTTCTCAGTGTTCAGGCTGTCCCCAATCTGAAGGGCTGTCCTACCAGACTAGAGGAGAGGACACCTCTGCTGAGTCGGCTGAGCAGTCAGAGGCCTCTCATCTAGCTACCAGGAGGCAGCCTCCAGGAAGGCTCCTGCCATTCATCAGCAGGAAAGAGCTGCTCATCCAGACACCCCAGATCCTTTAGAGATGACCCCAAGAGACGTAAACACAGAGCCAAGAACAAGGATAGGCCAGGGCTAAGCCTATGTGGCCTCAGCAAAGTGTCTGCAAATCTGTCCGCTAAAGCATAAAATGCTCCGTGAGAGCAGCCCCCTTTCTGAAGACCCTGCCCTCCCAGCCTCTGCCACCTGTGCCAGAAGACCTCAAACAGAAAGCAGAACCATGGAAGGGCTAAGAACTTGGGCACACTTGTCATTTGGAGCAGGAATGGTTTCCCGCAGCTTGTCTTAAGAGGACAGGAGTGGCTCAAGCAGTAGCACGCTCGCTTGGCATGCGTGCGGCCCGGGTTCCATCCTCAGCACCACATACAAACAAAGATGTTGTGTCCGCCGAAAACTAAAAAATAAATATTAAAAATCTCTCTCTCTCTCTAAAATAAATAAATAAATAAATATTTAAAAATCCTCTCTTTCTCTCTCTCACTCTCTCTTTAAAAAAAAAAAAAAAGAGGGGCTGGGGATGTGGCTCCAGCGGTAGCGCGCTCGCCTGGCATGCGTGCGGCCCGGGTTCCATCCTCAGCACCACGTACAAACAAAGATGTTGTGTCCGCCAAATACTAAAAAATAAATATTAAGAAAATAAAATTAAAAAAAAGAGGACAGGAGTGAGCATGGCAGGCAGGTGAGCTCGGAGAACAGGGCTGGGAGGCACACGGACTCTTGTGCATCTGTGGAGCCATGTGGACAAGATAAGCAAGTGGGTCAGCTACTGGCCAGACTTGCCGTAGGCTGCAAGGCCTCAGGGCTTCACGCTTCCTGCAGTCAGACTTGCTGTGTACCTTCCTTTTTTGAGCAGTGAGGTGACCGCAAGGCCCTCAGCTCCAGTTGAGGCTCCTGGCCAACCTCACGGCAGCACCTCCTCTCTGACCTCCCCCAGCCCAGCCCTAGGCTCCTGAGCACTGAGCCCCAGCAGGGACTTGGCAACCAGGCTGTGTGGAGCCCAGGGTGCCGGCCACAGCATGAGCCACCTGCGCCAGAGAGCTTACCAGAACATGTCCTGAGATGGAGGCCGCATTTGCCACTGATGTTGTGAAGACGTTGTCTGCAGAGGCCCCCACATTGGCCACTGTCACTGTGGTCACTTCTGCAATATGAGAAACCTCACTTTACAAACAAGGCAGGCCCAGGGTCCTTACACGGGAGCATGAAGCACTCCTGCCTGGTGTGGTGGTGCTCCCGCTCTGGGACCTTGAGCACTCACAGAGTGCACAGGGGACACAGCCAGTCCATGCTCAAGTCACCCGAGCTCTATGGGGAGGAAAGCACCACTCCCAGCAAGGCCTTTCCTGCCCCAGCCAGCCCCAGCTCTTCCACAACTGTCTCCCTCTGCAAAGAGGCTAATGCCACGGATCAGTCCAGACTACACCCTCGGCCTTGGCCTCTGGGAATGCCTCCCACTCCAGCAACGGTGAGCAGCCTCAAGTCTGGCCTGGTCCCTCCTGGTCCCTCTGCTGCCTCAGCTCCACCCCCAACAGGGGACCACAGCCTCACATTCACTGCCCCTGCTGAGGACTGACTCCAGGCCTTCCCCAGAAATCTTCCTCCTGAGAAGCACACTGACCTGCTGTGCCCCACCCCCTCGGACATGGAAGTCGGCCTTTCCCAGGAGCCCAAACACATTGAAGGGCTCCACAAAGGTCTGCTGGGCCCTGCCATTACCATCACCCAGACAGGCCACATGGCTCCTGCACATGGGCTGTACTCCTTGCCAACGCCCTTCACACCAGCCCTCCCCACCTCTGCAGAGGCAAGTACTGCCTTCTGTTGCCTAGGGCTCTCGATTGTCCCATGCCCAGGGTACTCTCTGGCATATGGCAGATGCTCAAATGATGGCTTAGTCTTCCTCCCTCCATTAGCCACACCCACCAACCTGCACCACAATACCCATTAACCTCAGTCCCCACTATCAGGCCACCCTGGGGCAGCTAACTCATTCTCACCATTTAGCCAAAAGTAAGCTGACCACTTAAGCTGAGGACCCCAATCTGGATACAAGCCTGAAGACAGCTCAAGCAGCCATGTGCCCAGTGGTGGGCATCCTGTCTGTCTGCATCACTTAAACCCGAGCATTATCTGATTTTTGCATCTCTCTTTTTTTTTTTTTTTAATTTTTTAGGTGTAAATGGACACAACACAATGCCTTTATTTTTATGTGGAGCTGAGGATCAAACCCGAGTTCCGCCCGTGCTAGGCAAGCGCTCTACCGCTGAGCCACAATCCCAGCCCCTGATTTTTGCATCTCTTAACAAAAAAAAAAACTGAAATGCTCTGACACTTAAAAACACAGCTATAAAATTCTGCAGAATCACTCAGTGGTAGAGCACTTGCCTCGCACATGTGAGGCACTGGGTTCAATCCTCAGCACCACATAAAAATAAATAAAGATATGGTGTCCATCTTTAAAAGAATCTTAAAATTCTGCAGAAAATCTGGGGTGTGGCTCAGTGGCAGAGCACTTGCCTGGCATGCATCGGGCCCTAGGTTGTATCACCAGCATCACTCTCTCTCTCACCCACAGAAGAAACATACAACATAGACATATTTCTCTGATATCATGATGAATGGCATCACATTTCTTTTGTACATTCAGAAAAAGGTGTGCAAAGAGGGACAAAAATACCCAAATACCAATGCCAATCCAGAGTTCATGCTGGACAGCACCAACAAATCCATGAGGTCTCCTCAGTCTTGGGAGCAGCTTGACAAATCATTGGAGACCAGCAGCAGTGGACCAGTGGAACCTGGACAGCTGGGCCCTCCCCAACCCAGAGGAGCTGAATGTCAACTAGAGCTGATCGCCACAGCTATCATGAAACCCACATAGCAGGACAGACATTGTGTCCAAAACCTGAAGAGCTCCTCAGGATGCAAGAAGAGCAGCAAATCAGTGCTCCTCCAGGGCTTGAGCTTCACCTGCAAGTCCTGCTGGGGCACTTGGGAGCTCCAAATGGGAAGGGACCTGACTGATGCTCTACAGGGTGGGGGGTGGGGCAGGGACATGTTGACTGCAGAGAGCATCCTGGGGTTGCACTACCTCCACGGGGTGATGCTACACAGCTCAAGGCTCCTTGTGCTACAGAACCTGGGATCCAGGATGCTGTGTCAAGAAACTATGAGTGGCACAAACAAGAACTTGGCAATGCAGGAGGGGAAAGAAGATGTGTACAAGAAAGGCAGCCAGGAAGAAGATGCCTGCCAGGTTGAGAGAGGCATTGCTGTCTCTGGATGAGGACTCTCCTGATCACTCATGCTCAAAACCACACCTGAACTGGCCCTGAGCACTTGAAGCTTTCCAGGCAACTGGACATGCCCACTCGCCTGGGTCTCCTCAAGGATAAAACCCATGTTTGATCATCTTATGCCACCAGCTCCCAGGATGGACCAAGAGAGGGCAGAAAGGGCAGGAGGCAGGTGTTGAGAAGGTTCCAGAAGGGGCACAAAATGAAGAACAACAGTGACACACATGGAAACAGGCATGCACGCAAAGCAGGGCCAGGACGGTGGAGGAAGGCAGGCGTACAGGGCACCTGCACCAGGCAGGTGCTCCTAGGCCTGCAGCCTGGGGCAGGTGCTCGGGGAAGGTGCTCGGGGCAGGTGCTCGGAAACCAGCGAGGCGCGGGAACTGGCGAGGCGCGAGGCCAGCGGGCGCGGGCGCGGGCGCACTTGCCTGCGAAGGCGGCGGCGGCGGCGGCGGCCTCGTCGGGGCCAGGCAGGGCCTCGGCGCCCATGTCCATGTGCCCGGGCTCGGCTGCCATCACCGCCACAGCCGTGACCCGCCGCGTCTCGCGTTCCGCCTCCGAGTCCGCGTCCTCCTCCGAGTCCTCGTCCCTGCTCAGAACTGGCTCCTCCGCCTCGCCTCCCGCCGCGGCCGCGGCCGCCGCCGCCACAGCGGCCGCGGCCGCCACCGCCGCCGCCTCGGCCAGGCCCAGCTGCTTTGCCGCCGAGTCCGAGTCCTCCATCCGGACTCCGCCGAGCCCGCCCGAAGGCGCCGAGCGGGGCTGCCCGAAGCGCCGGGCGCCGAGCCCGAAGTGGGGGCCGAAGAGTCCGCCCGAGCCGGGCCGAGGCCGCCCGAAGTCGCCGCCCGAGCCGGGGCCGAAGCGGAGCCCAGCCGCGGCCAAGCCCGAGCCGAGCCGAGCCGAGCCGAGCCGACGCCCAGAGTCTGAAACCGAGGAGGGTCGAAGCTGCCCGAAGTGTGGACCCGAGTCGGCCCGAAGGGCTCCGAGGCAGCACGAGAGTTCCCGAGCGCGCTCTCCCGACTGCCCCGGGGCCTGAGCCGCAGTCGCGGCCGGCCGGCGGGCTCGGCAGGCTCCGGGCTGACTCTCGCCGGCCTCCGCTGCAGCTCGGACTCGCGGAGGGCGCCTCGCGGCCCCGGCTCCGTCCGCCTCCGGAAGCCGAGCCGGCCCGAGGACGAGCCGAGGTCCGCCGAGCGCGCCCGAGCCCGAATCCGCCGAACCTCTGTGCCCGCCTCCTCCTGTCCGAAAGCTCCCGAGCGCTGCCGGACGGGCGACTCGGGCTCGGCCGCGGTCGGACGCTCGCTCCTGGGGACTGCGGGAGGAGCGAAGATGGCGGGAGGGCGCGGCCCGTGGGCTGCCGGGATCGCGGCGGACCCGGCGGCAAGATGGCGGCCGAGCGCCCAGGTGAGGCGGGCGGGGCTGCGGCCGCGCCTCGAAGCTGTAGTGGCGCCGCAGCCACGCAGGGCCCTGCGGGCTGGCCTGGTGCCTCCGCCGCCCCGCATCTGGCTGCCCGGCCCGGCGGCCGCGGGCCTCTCGGTCCGGATTCCTGATGCTGACCCCAGCGGAGCCTCCGTGGTGGTGCGAGATGGGTCGGGGACAGTGTGGTCCCGCTCGCTTGGGGCACACCCCGGGGCACACCCCAGCACCCCCACTCAGCCCTGGGCACACCTGCAGCTCACCCCAGCACCCCCATCACACCCGGGCACACCTGCGGCTCACCCAGCACCCCCACTCAGCCCCGGGCACACCTGCAGCTCACCCCAGCACCCCCATCACACCCGGGCACACCTGCAGCTCACCCAGCACCCCCACTCAGCCCCGGGCACACCTGCAGCTCACCCCAGCACCTCCATTACACGCGGGCACACCTGCAGCTCACCCAGCACCCCCACTCAGCCCCGGGCACACCTGCAGCTCACCCCAGCACCTCCATCACACGCGGGCACACCTGCAGCTCACCCAGCACCCCCCACACACACCTGCAGCTCACTCCAGCACCCCCAGTCACACCTGTGGCTCACCCCAGGACCTCCACTCATCCCCAGGCACACCTGCTGCTCACTCCAGCCCCCCCACACCTGTGGCTCACCCCAGCACCCCCATTCACCCCCCTGCACTAATGGAGTTCACCCAGCAACCCCACTTACCTGCGGCTCACCCCAGCACCCCATTCATCCCCCCGCACTTCTGCAGCTCACCCCAGCACCCCTGGGCATATCTGCAGCTCACCCCAGAACCCCACTCACCCCTAGGCACACCTGCAGCTCACCCCAGAACCCCACTTACCCCCCGGGCGTAGCTGCTGCTCACCCCAGCACCCCACTTGCCCCCCAGCCACACCTGCTGCTCACCCCAGCACCCCACTCGCCCCTGCAGCTCACCCCCCAGCACCCCACTCACCCCTGGGCACACCTGCAGCTAACCCCAGCACCCCCTCCACACACCTGCAGCTCACCCCAGCACCCCCATTTACACCCCCCCGCATTTCTGCAGCTCCCCAGCACCCTGAGCACATCTGCAGCTCTCCCAGCACCCCCACTCACCTGCTGCTCACCCCAGCACCCCACTCGCCCCCCAGGCATACCTGCTGCTCACCCCAGTACCCCACTCGCCCCCTGGGCACATCTGCTGCTCACCCCAGTACCCCACTCGCCCCCTGGGCACATCTGCTGCTCACCCCAGCACCTCACTCACCCCGGGGAACACCTGCTGCTCACCCCAGCACCCCTCTCACCCCCCGGGCACAGCTACATCTCACCCTAGCACCCACACACACGCTGTACACCTGTGGTTCACCCTAGCACCCCTATGGTACCCTGCAGCTCACTTCTGGCACAACTGTGCACATCTGTGACACACAGTGGGAGCCAAGGGCAGCAAGAAGTGGATGTGGTTCCCACTGTGTGGTGGCAGCATCTGAAGCTCAGGAGCCTGGGGTCCCTGGGCAAAAGGGCATGTGAGCTGGCTGGACCAGGGCGTCAGCCTAGGTGAGAAGCTCTCAGCCAGTGCAGGCTTGTGTGTCCATCTCTCCTTTTCCCCCAATATCCCTGCATGGAACAAATTGTGGGTATGTTGCTGAGTTGTAGCACACCAGGCTTGTAGGCTGGGGCCACCTAGCCACCACTGGATCTGGGACTAGCTTTGATTCCTATAACCTGACTAACTTCTGTGGTAAAAAGGAAATCCCTATAAAAAGGAAACACCTTTCAATTTAACATCAGGGAACTAGATACACTTGATGCCTGAAATGTTTCAGATTTCAGATAGTTTCTTTGATTTTATTTGGTTTTGTTTGTTTGTTTGTTGCAGTGCTGGGGATTGAACTCAGGGCCTTGACATGACAGGCAAGTGCTCTATCACTGAGCCACAGCCCTGACACTGAAGTTTTCAGAAAAGGGTCAGGAGGGAGGAGAACCTCAATTAGTGTGAAACCAACCAAAATAATAACAGGTATCTAGGTAGCCTAGTGTAGCTGGGGCTTGGAAAAGAACATATCGGGTTTTAAGAGCCTTACAGAAATGTAATACAACTCTGTCATTCTGTTTTGGCTTCCTGCTCCCACACATGTGTCTGCTAGGAGCCCTGCCCAGAGTCTGTCACTAAGGCCCTGTGGTTGACCAATGTATGACTCTTGCCCTCTTTAAAGTCCTCTGGCACAAAGGGTCCCAATCTGCCCAAGAAATTAGATCGCCCACAAATCTCACCAAAGCTGAGACTTGCCCTCCCTGGACTACAGAGGAAATGACACCAAGTGCTCCCTAGCAGTACAGTGTCTTTACAGAATAGTTGATCCAAATTCTGAATTTTCATACGTGTGCACACACGTTTAGAGGCATCTATGCTTGTACCATGGAAGCACTGGTGTGAGCCTCTTAAGCCCGGCAGTCTGGCTGGGTCATGTTCCATGCAGCGGCAAGGCAGAGGGATCTTTGAACTCAGTACCTCAGAGTCCAGGACTAAGTAGGCCTCCCTTACCCCTCTTGTGTCATCCCAAGACAGAAGCCAAGAGCACAGAGGGAGTGGGGCTGGCCCAAGGGACTCTGCAACTGGAGGGCTGGTTTAGGAAATTCTTTCTCCTTCCTGGGGATAGATTTTGGGAAGTGAAAATATTGCAGAGGAAGGTGAATGTCTGATCAAAGATGAAAAACAATGTCTCATAACACAAAAGGCATCCATCTGATGGCACGCCTCGGGCAAACGCACAGACCACACTAGACAGGAGCTACCATTTGGTTTTGTTGGGAGGTGTTTGCTTCCCTGAAGTGTGAGGGCAAGGACCTAGCTGCAGGCCCACTACGATGGTCACTGGTCACTTCCTTCTATGAATATGAGATCAAAAGAGGATATGAGGGACCCCGTGTTGCCGAGCGAGGTCCGGGAAAGCATTCCGAAAGGACTCACTGACCACCCTCTCTCTTCCAGGCAGAGGCTTCTCCCCGGGGGTATCCTGCTGCTGCTGCATCCTGCTTCCCCAGGCCAGTGCTGGCTCCTGAAGGGACCCCACATGGCTGGATTGCTGACCTCTTGCGGCCAGCTCTCTGCCCATTTGCTCTTCCCACGTCCTACCCCACCTCTCCTTAACTCCTGATGAGCTCTCAGGAGGGAGGTTCAGAGAGCTGACCTAACTTCCTCTAATGGGGCACGTGGGCTCTGCACCCATCACCAGCTCAGCTGGTAGCTCCTCGCCTCCCACTGGGCCAGGTGGCATTCCTGTGGCACAGAGTGAAACCCCTCCTCCAATGACCCCAGACTCAGTCAGCGTAAACAAATATCAAGTGTTCAGAGATCAGGAAATTGCTAGTGGATATTTAGCTGCCCCAAAGTGAGAAATAGGTTTCCTCCAAGTAGAATGAAAAAAGGCTCCTTTTTCTCCCTTGTAACTAGGGTCATGGTGGTGTCACCAGGGACCACTAGTGTGCGGAAGCTCCTGCCACTCTCCCTGCAGCCACAAAGCACTGGTGCTCACACCATGAGTTCTGCGGGGATGGCCTCTGGGCCACTCCCTCATGCCCACTGGGGGCCCATAGCACAATGGAAGCCCCTACAGGCAGGGAGCCAGCAGCTGTGTCTCCATGGCCACCTGTGGAGGCCCATCTGCAAGAGCCTAAACTGGACCCCCTAGTGTGCCCTGGGACAGATGACAGAGCCAGCCCCTCTGACTTGGGCAGCAGGAAGGGTGTGCCCCAGTCTGCCGGCTTGCAGATCCTTGACCACACGCCAGCTGTCCTCAGTCCCCCTCCAAGTACTCTCTCACCTCAGCGGGCTGTACTACACCCTGTACTTCCTAGCCACGCTCCTGATGATCATCTATAAAAGTAAGTCGGGAGTGTGAGGCAGGCCCAGGAGCCCACTGCTGCTCAAGCTGACCCGAGGCTGCTGGTCCTAGGTCAGGTGTTCAGCTATCCTTGGCACCGCCTGGTCTGCGACCTGACTCTACTCCTGCTGATGGGAGTCCTGGAAGCAGTTCGGCTATGCCTGGGTGAGTGTTGGGGTGGATGCATTCCAGCTGTGACAAGTGCTGTCTCAAGCACTGAACCTTTGGATGTGACCCCTTGGTGCAGTTCTTGGTGAGGTCTTCAGTCAGACTAGTGTGCAGAGGCTGTTGCCTAGGTGTGATGCAATATCACCTTACGCTACGGCTAACTGCTGGTTTAGAAGCTCCATCCCGAGGACAGGTGATACTTGTGTGGGCTCCCATCTAGAAGCACATGAGATCACAACAGCCTACCTGTCCGAGCCAGGGCTCCCGAATACCCCTGCACCCTCTGTCCTTCCCTTGGTTGTCTGGGGAGCTCAGCAGGTCCCCAGAAAACCCAGCCTTTCCAGTCGGGCTTGGGTCCAGGTGGTACTTCCTCCAGTGGCCTCTGGGCCACTCCCTCTTCAACTGCACAGTTCACACAAGGGTATGCTCTTGAACAGAACTCGAGGGGTGCAGAGATATAGCACAAAACCTCCTCCCCCACCCCATAGCTGACCACCAAGACCAGCCCCACTGTGCCCTTCCTGTGGGCGTGGTCATAGACACACACAATGAGGGTGTCTGTCTGGGGATGGACTGTACCCTTCACACTGCCCTGCTGTGGGCACAGGAATGGGCATGTCTAGGCATGTTGCACTGCCAGGTGCCAACCTCAGGCCCTCATGCATACCCCAGCCCATGGTGACCAGGACATGATAGGAAGCCAAGGTGAGGGGAGGCTGGCCCCTGACCTTCTTCTTGCGTCAGATCTGGGACCCTGTGGGGCAGGGGCCAAAGTGAGTCTCCTCACCTTCAGGATGGACACTGGCAGGGGCAGCATGTCATGCAGCTGCCAGCACAGACAGCGCAGATGCTAGTGTAGCTCTCAGGAGGGTTTGGACACCATGTGTGTGTGTACCTAGGGTCTGGCCTGCAGGGGGCTGCCTGGCCCTAAGGGCCCTTGGGGCACCTGAGCTGCTGGGGTCAGCTGGTGGCAACTTTGGATGGCATTTTCCATGACTGGCCCATTGGTTTGTAAATGTGCAGTTCTGTTTTTGTAAGTGTTCATGACATTTTCCAGAACTGGCTTTAGTAAAATATTTTTGGAAGTTTTAAATGCAAAAGGGTGGCAGATGCCCATAGTTTCAGATACCAAAGTCTGCCCCACACCCACCGCTGGCCAGAGGGTCAGGCAGGCACCAGCTCTGGGGGTGGCCACAGTGAGCTCTTTCCCCGATCCCGTGGCTCGTGCTGTCCTCAGCAGGACCAGGACTGGGTGGTGGGTCCTGCCCCAGGCCGATGCCCTACCACACCTCACTCTCATCTGCTTGCTCTTCAGGCACACAGGGCAACTTGACAGAGGCTGAGGGGCCCCTGGCTGCCAGCCTGGCCCTCACAGTGGGCAGCGGCCTTCTCTCCATCCACTTTCTGCTCTGGCAGACCCTGGTGCTCTGGGCAGACGCCATCCTCAGTGCTGGACTCCTGGTGCTCCACGGCCTGGAGGCCGCCCTTCAGGTGGTGGCCATTGCGGCCTTCGTCAGGTAGACGTCTGGCTCAGCCAGGCGGCAGCCACCTCCTCCGTACCCTGCCAGGTCCCAGCAGTCTCCCGCGCTGCTGAGCGAGCAGGTGTGTCTGTCCTACTGACTTGCCATAGACGGCTCTGGGTAGCTCACAGCCATGGGGTGTGATGCACAGGGACATCCACTCAGGCCCTGTAAGTGGGGCCACCAGAGGAGGGAGAAGCCCTGCAGAAAAGAGACTGCCAGAGGGGGGCCCTGCAGTGCACCCCGGAGAAGCAGCCTCCACCTCCGAGCTCCGGCCAGCTGCAGCCCGTCCCTGTGCTTTCTCACACAAAGGTCCTTGACATGGCACGCTGCCTGCTTCTCTCCGCCACCAGCTTCTCCAGAGCTGCAGGCAGGTGGCCCTGTGTGTGAGTGCCTGTCTGTCTCCCCCCCCCCCCCCCCGGGCCTGGGCAGAATGGTGGGCTGGGGTTTCCACAGAGAGCAGAGCAAGTGGGCCCATCAGCTTCAGATTCTCACCCCAACACTCTCCCTTCCCTGTGGGCACCTCTGAGGTCCAGGGGAGCGAGGCTGTGGGGACAGTGGCCAGTTCAGAGAGCAGCTCCAGTTGTAGGGTCTCTGAGTGAGCTAGGGGACTTCAGCAACATTGCACTCAGATGAAATGAATGAATTCCACCCTACCTTTGACTTTTCCATCTGCAGTTTTACCATACGTGCTCCTTAAAAAGTATCTTAGCTAGCTAGGCTGGGGTGCAGCTCAGTGATGGAGCACTTGCCTAGTCTGTGCAAGACCCTGGGTTCCATCCCAGCACCTTAAAAAAAGGTACACACACACACACACACACACTTAGAAAAAAAGGGTTGCCAGTGCTGTGGGGTACACCTGTCATCCCAGTGACTCAGGCTGAGTTAGGAGGACTGCAAGTTCAAGGCCAGCCTCATCAACCTAGCAAGACCATGTCTCCAGAAATAGAAAGGCTGGGGATGTAGCTCAGTGGTAGAGTGCTCTGGGTGAAATCTCAGTATCACGCAACAATAACGTAGGGTCTGAGCCGATTTTCCTAGTAGCTTGCCTTCATCTGTTGTTTTCTGCATTTGGAATAATGTTATGTCCCAGTGTCTGGCTTTCTCTTCACTATTTATTTAAAGTAAATAAATGTTCACATTTCCAGGAATTTGTCCTAATTGTAGCCACTTAACCCTCCCCACATTTTGCTATAAAAAGCCCCCCCCACCTTCCCCCACTTGCTCCTTCATGACCTCATCCCAAGACTCACCTCCAGCCACGCTGCCTCCATCCTGACGCCTGGTCGGAACACTGCTCCTCTGTACACTGCTGAGGGTGGCAGGCTGCCAGTGTCCTGGGCCTCCTCCAGAGCCAGTGTCACTGTCATGTCCTCACCCAGGGCCCTCAGCTGGCTTCGTCTGACCCCAGAGTGAACGTCAGGCAGCCTGGACACCTGCTTTCCCACTCAGCGTGCCCATGCAGCAGATCCACACGCAGGCGTGGAAAGGGCCAGTGCTCCCAAGCATCTCTGTGGCTGGGGCACCATCCATTAGGATGCCCAGAAGGGCTGCCGGTTCATTCTGCAGACCGGGTAGAAAGCTTTCACAGTTAACAGATCTGAGTCTGGAGCCCTTGACACCCCCCTCTCACTGGCACACAAAGGGGAAGGTCACCTGTTCCACACCATCTGCAAACACTACAGGTCCAGGCGGCCCAGAGTGGCTTTGGGTCCTGCCCCAGCTGTCCCTGCAGTGCCCACTTCCTGCTTTTGCCCGTTCCTCACCCTGCCGAGGAAGGGCGAGGGCATGGGTGTATGCCTGCCCCTGCCAGGGCAGAGCAGAGTGCTTGACCCTGCACACTGGTTCAGGATGGAGTCACATGTGGAGCAGGACTAGGCCAGGTTCTTGAGTTCAGCTGCAAAGGCTGTGGACCAGGAAGCAGGTCTTGTCTGGACTCGGGCAGGTGCTGGGACTGGAGGACAAAGGCCATTCCTGCCACCCTTCGGCTGAGCTCACCTGTGGGTTCAGTGCAGACCACAGAGATGCCAGTGGCTCTGGCCCTCCAGGGCAGAGTGCCCACCTCCCCATGGCTGCTCCATGCCAGCCCAGGGCAAACACCAGCAGTCCTGACTTCCTGACGGTACTCATCCCCTCTGCCCCCACCCTGGGAACAGAGCTGGAACCCTGGGGACCCTGCATGTGCCCAGGTGGTCTCTATCCCCTTCACCTCCTCCACTGCCAGCCAACCTTGGCTTCTCGCTCTCTGTGCACCCCACCCTGTCCTGTGCATAGCAACAGGCTTGCTCAGGGCCTTCTGGGAGACCGCCTGGTGAGACAGAGCCAGAAGCTCACAGGACAGTCTGGGCCACAGGTGTCCCCACCCACCAGACACTCCCACCCTTTGGAGGTGCCCGGGATGAGGTGGGGTGCAGAGAAAAGGGACTTAGGAACTCCTGGACTGGGAGCTAGGGCTGTGGGTCCTAGCTAGTTCCTACCTCTGACCTCCACTCAGACTGATGCCTCTGCCCCAGCATCCCACACCAGATGGGCCAGCTGAAGAGGAAGGGCTCTGAAGCTAGGGGCCCGGAACGTCCCGCGGGGAGGGCTGGGGCGGCCGCGCAGCGCCCCAGGTGAGCTGGGACCGCCAGGAACACCGCTGCGCGCAGCCGGGCCTGGCGGGCGGGGGCGGGGCGTCCCGGGCCCGCCCCTGCCTCCCCCGCGCGCCCGCTCCCCGGTGACTCGGTAACCTGTCGCTCAGGTTCGTCCTCTCGCCGCCCCGCCCCGCCCCGCGAAGCGACCCGCCCGCCAGCGGAGACCTAGTGCGGTGGCCAAGGCGCGGACAGACTGGCGGACACACGGACCGGGGGACTGGCCACAGCGAGGACGCAGTTGCCGCGAGCAGGTGAGGGCGAGGAAGGAGCTCATCCGTCTGGGCCTCAGTTTCCTCAGTGGCGATGGGACGCGGGGCTCTGGCGGGGCCGGGTGCGGGAGGCAGCTGGGCGCCTGAAGCGCTGGGGATAGCTGGACCAGGGTGGCCGGGCGCGGTGGCGCAGGAGGTTTCGGGGGGGCTCTGGGCCCAAGAACCGGTCCACTGCGGTCCGGTCTGCCAGTGTCCGGGGCGCGGCCCGCGTGCAGGGATATTTTTAAGCCAGTGGCAGGTGACTCACCCATGCAGGTCCCATGCCCTCCCAGCCCTGGGGCTAGGTGGAGGAATCCCTGCATCCGGAGAAGGGGCTTGTCCTCCATGGGAGGACCCTGAAGGTGGGCACACAGCCCAGGCCTGGAACTCTCTGGAGGCTTGGGCCAGGATGGCATCAGGTTGGGTCAGGCTGCTGGTCAGAGGTGAGGTGTGCAGTCCGAGAGGGGAGGAAGGCTGGGGGCCTGGGGGCGTGGCTGCAGGAGCCCTGCCGGGCCCATCCTGGAGGGTGGGCTACCAGGACCTGTGGGAATCCAATCTGGCCATTCCAGGTTCCTGGTCCCTGGGCAGGGCTGCTCTAGAACTGCCCCTTTGTGTGAGGGTGCACCCCCCACCCCCGCAGGGGCGGAAGTAGGCACACCCCACAGACCACCTCTGCCCCTATTCCAGTGCACAATCCTTGCTGTGCAAGGAGGGGCCCCTGGTGGGGATAGCCCATCTGCACTGCCATCCTATGCCCAGGCCTCTGCTGGACTTGCCCAGTACCCAGGCCCTGTGGGCCCAGTGCTTCCATCCAGCCAGGCTTCTGCACCCTGTGCCTGCCCAGGTCTCCTCAAGTGTATCCACCCTCCCCCCTAGAAGTTTCCAAGTTGTCTCTTCCTCCCTCCGACCTGGACAGGGCTCTTTCCTCAGGTCACAGAAGGGCCTGAGGGACTGCCCTGTTCCAGGGCCCCACCCGACTCCCATGAGGGCAGCTAGGAGCCCTGATGACTAAGCTGACCCCTCCCCAAGGTCACTCAGCATGTGGAGCTGGAATTTGAACTTGGAGCCAGTTCCTCCACCCTCTCTGCCCTACTGGGGCCTCCTCCCTCCACTGTCCACTCGCCAGGCCCCAGACATACTGGGTCCTCCCTTCATACCCGGAAAATGGCCTCCATAAAACTAAAGTACAGCCTGAAGCCCAGGGGCCAGGGCCAGGGCCAGGGCTGGGCACCCATCTCCACCTATTCTGAGTTACATGGCTTCCCCACCCCCAGCTGAAGCCCACTGGGAGCAGGCTTCACACAGGCCTCTAAGTGGCCCCAGCTCCCCCACTGCTGAAGTCCCAGCCTAGATTTCCCTGAGGGGAGGGCTGTGCAGCCCAGCCTGTGTGTCTGCGTGCCTGCAGGCCTGGGTCTGGAGGGTTGTTTTTGCCCAGGTGTGTGTACCTGGACCCACGTGCCCAGTGCCCTTGGTTCAGCCTGCCAGGAATCCCATTAAGCAAACACTCAGACTCACCCACTGAGGTCATGAGCATTCCAAACATTCTCCACGGATAGGTGGACAGGGCAATCTGGCCAAGCCCCCTGTGGCATGTGGGCGGGGCAGAGCAGGAGCCAGGATGAGGCAGTAACCAAAGCCCCCAGGCTCCCACATCTCCTGGGAGTGCTCCCCAGCAGGACCTCGTCAAACCAGAAAGTCCTGGGGTGCCCCAGCCTGCCCCTCAGCTCTCCATACCAGCACCCAGGCTGGTGGCCCCACCCTAGTAGACCCAAACACTGAAGTCAGCAGGATGGCCTTCCTGGTGACATCTGTCAGAAGGCAGACAAGAGTGTGGACCCAGGACCCCTTAGGGAGCCACCACAGAGGTGCTGTCCACCTGTTCTACCTGGGACACGGGGGCAGTTCTGCACTGGTGGTCCCCCCAGGGCATTCTCCCCACATAAGCCGCCAGGGTTTGCTTACCTCCCAGGAAGGTTCCAGGGTCCAACCCAGATCAGACCCTGTTCACGTTAGCAACCTGTCCTCGTTTCCCCCAGAGTGCAGCTGGACAGTGGTCAGGCCTGGGAATCTGCTACAGGGAGGCTGGGACACCACCCATCCCTCTGAACCCCCACCCTGTGCCCACCTTCCCCAGGTCCTTTCTTGGGCCGGCTCCTGCTGCCAAGGGTCCTACCCTGGTTTCCCCATTTTGCCTTCTCATCAGGGTGAGACTACCCCTTAAGTACCAGGGACCCCAGGATTCCCTACCACAGGGCTTCCCTGCTTGCTCTACAAGGACCCAAAGAGAGCCAAGGGTGGACAGGTGTGGGCTGTGTGTTCCCAACAGGGTGCAGAGGCCCCTGTGGGGTAGGTGCCTGGGGTGGGACAGGACTGGAAGGCGGGAGCCAGAGCTCCCTCTGCACTGTGTGCCCCTCCCCAGGCTCCAGCCTCATGCCCCTGCCCTCCACTCCTGCTGGCTGCTACCTGCCCCAGGGCCTTTGAACCTACTTGAACTCTGCTGAGAAGATGCTTTCCCCCCATAACCCTCTTCAGAGCCTCCTAGGCAGCCTCCTGGGGGGGGCAACCCTATGCAGTCTGAAGGTCTGAGGCAAGATGGGGCTCAGTGGCCACTAGCTGGGTTGCAGGGTAGGGAGCTCTACTTCCTGAGGACTCCCTGTGGAATCTGGTCAAGTCACTGAATTCCTGCCCTGGACCCGGGGTAGGGAGAGGAGACCCTGTCCTGGGAATAACAAGGCCACTGGCCAGGACCAGAGAAGGTGTCAGCTCAGTTCCTCTGTCCTCTCAGGTGCGGGCCAGGCATTGGGCCCCAGACTCGGCCACACTGAGTTCTGCCCTCCCAGCTGCTGGCCGCCACCAAGGACGCCATGAGCCAGTCAGGAGCCATGAGCTGCTGCCCTGGTGCTGCCAAGTGAGCCCCATGCCCACCCTCACTGCCCACAAGCAGCCCCCGGGGAGGGCTCCCAGGGAGGGCGTGGTGGCCCCCCTCACCTGCCCCCCCCCCACAGTGGCAGCCTGGGCTGGTCCGATGGTGCTGCTAAGATGAGCGCAAAGGATCTGTTTGGTGAGTGAAGCTGGAGATAGGGCCAGGCTGGGGAAGTAGGGGACTGCCTGGCCTGGCCCAGAGGACCTCAGGCTTGGTCAGCCCTGGGTACCTGGAGGAGGCCTCTGGACCCTAATCCACTGACAGCTTGTGAGGTCTGTCCCCAAAGTTCCTGGCACAAAACACCCCTCCCCCAGCAGTAAGGGGAGAGCCCTTTACAAATAATTCAGAGAGCATCAGTATTGATTCCCCTGGGCGTCTCTGCAACTCGATCGGGGCAGGCGGCCGGTGGCCAGGTGTCTCTCCAGGAGGGAGCCAGGCTGCCCTCCCAGCTTGCCGCAGCCCTCACTTGTGCCTTTGGATGCTGCACCCACCGTCTGGAAAGCAAGAAGCCCCTAGAAAGGAGGAAGATTCTGGTGGTGGCTCTGAGGGTGGGCAAGCCCTGGCCTAGACCTCTCCCCTGGGAAGGTGGGCACAGGGGTTGGCCAGCCTCCGGTGAGGCTGAACCTCCAGTGCCCCAGGACAAGTCCCATAGCCTCTGGCTGCCCTCCCCACTCTGAGCAGGCCCCTTCCCTCTCAGAGCCATGGGTGTCTCCCCTGGGGTGAGCCTGGGCTGGATGGAGCAGAGGGCTTCCTGAGAGTCCTCATGGTCTGAGGAGGGTCCTCATGGATCTCACACCTGTGATCCTTGGTGTTCATGAGGGGCCCAAGAGAAGCACCCCTTACCTTGACTCCACCCTCCCTTGCGGCCCCCTGGGGTCCAGTCCCACCTGGACTGGGGGCTGGCGGTCCTGAGATCTGGGCTGAGTGACCACCGTCTCCCCGTCCAGAGCAGAGGAAGAAGTACTCCAACTCCAATGTCATCATGCACGAGACCTCCCAGTACCATGTCCAGGTGAGAGCCCTGTGCGTCGGGGTGCACAAGCAGGTGGAGAAACTGAGGCCCGAGGACAAGTGGGGAGACCAGAGCCAGCGACTGCCCCCCACGGGTCCTGGGCTGAGCCACAGTGGGGTCAAGCCCTTCAGTCTGGGGAGCCTTCCCTGGGGACTTGGTGCTGAGGTTGGCACCACCCCGGGTGTGCTGGGGAGGCCCGCTGGGGCTGTGCACAGGAGCCTCTGGGAAGGAAGTTGTCATCCTGCCCCCAAACAAGGAACTGGATTAGCGGGAGAAGCTGAAACAAAGACACTCTTTATTGAGCACTGCGGGAGCTTCAGGTGGCCGTGCTGCGTCGGAGCTACCCTGCGTACCCTGCCACCCTGCGCCCTTTGGACCGGCCGCCAGCCTGGGAGGGCTTTGTCCTACACCTAGAACTTAGGAAACACACTGTACAGATGGGCCTTCCATGCCTGCCAGCTGGCCGGGCTCCTGGCCGAGATCCAGGCTTGGGGGACTATGGGGAGGAATGAGGGGGAGGCAGGTAAGGGGCGAGCAGAGCCAGCTGTGGCTGCAGGCCCACTGTGCTGGCTCTCTTGGGCCTTCCCACCCACCGTGGGCCTCACTGGGCCCCGGGCTGAGGAAGTTACTGTCTAAGCCTGTGCCTCAGAATGAATCCAAAGAAGCTGAGGCTCTGGGGTCCAGTGTGTTGGGATGACCAGTGTTCTCCCCCCACCGGCCTGGGCAGGCTAGGCCATTGTGCAGTAACCACTGTGACGCAGTTTCCCAAGGCAGAGCTGTCAGTGTGGGCGGTCAGCCAGCCCCCTCCTCCACAGCAGCTCCGCCACCTTTCTCAGGGGTGGGACTTTGCTCTCCTCAGTGAGGACCCAGCCTGGCCCCTGGACTTTGGTCCCAGCTGGCCTGGCTCATCCCAGCTGTTGCAGGGGCCAGAGAGGCTGTGGGAGGAGATGAGGTTTTCCCACCCCTCCCAGAGAGAGCATCGGAGACCTGCCTTAGCAAGGTGGAGCGGACGCAGGGTGCCAAAGCCTGTGCTTTTGCTGCTGACTTTCCGTACAGTAACTGTGGTGGGGCATGCAGTCCTGTTACCACATAGGTGGCACCCAGCATGGCTCTGTCACCCCAAGCTCCTGCCAGACCCTTTGAGGTCGCAGCCCCACCTCCCTGTCTCTGTCGACAGGACCCTCTAGTTTACAGCCTCCTCAGCTTCCTGAACTGACTTAAGAAGGCGTGGCAGAGGATGACTCTGTGCCCGGCCCGGGCTGCCAGGGCATCTTTGCCAGCCACCTGGCCCCAGGCCTCTCCCCTGATGCTGCTTCTGCCCACATACATGTGGAGGTGCTTCTGATCCATGTGGACATCTTCATATGTACAGTCAGGTGTGAGGGTCAGCACCACCTTCTCCCTGTCTGTGGCTTGTTCACTCATAAGCTTCACTGTCTTTCGAGGGACACAAAGGTGACATTTTGGTGACGTCTAGTCAGACCACCTTTGTTTCCTTCTGGGGGGGGGGGCTTTTTGCCTCCCGAGGAACTGTGCCTTTGTTGCCTTTGGATGTCTGTAGTGTGGCCTTTGCATCTAGGTCCACCGTCCCCTCCAGGTGTTTTTGGGGGCATGGTGTGGAGTGGGGATCAAGGCTGGTTTTCTCTTGTGTGCATGTCCAGCCATAGTGAAAAGGCTTTCCTCCCCCGGGATTGCTCTGCTGCTTCTGTGAACACTGAGTAGCCAGATATGGACAGGTCTGTTTCTGGAATCGTCATTTCACTGCTCTATAATGCTGTGTACAAGCTTCAGCTCATTGTGGCTTTATCAGTCGTGAACTCAGGCCATGTGAGTCCCACAGCTTTGTTCTTTATCTTCATAATATCCTGTGTCTCTCCCCCCACTCTTGTGTTTTAGAAATGGAGTTTTGCTATGTTGCCCAGCTGGTCCCAAACTTCTAGGCTTAAACAACCCTCCTGTCTCAGCCTTCTGAGTAACTTGGATTACTGATGTGTACCACCAAGCCCAACTGAGATTGGCTTGAGTTCCTTATACTTGCATATGAATTTTAGAATCAACTTGTGTATTTCTCCTCCTAAAAGATGCTGTTAGAATTTTGATTGGCATCAAGTCAAATCTCTGAATCACTTTAGAAAGAGTTGACACTTGAACAATGTTGTGTCTTTCCATCCATGAACATGGGATACCTTTCCATTAATACATATTCTTTAATTTCTCATCAGTGTTTTGTGGTCTTCATTATAGGAAGCTTGCATATCCTTTGTTAAATTATTGCTTAGGCATTTGATTTTTATATGTTATTACAAATGGTGCTGGTGCAGTGGTGCATGCCTGTAGTCTCAGTGGCTCCGGAGGCTGAGGCAGGAGGATTGCGAGTTCAAAGCCAGCCTCAGCAACTTAGCAAAGCATTTAGCAACTCAGCAAGACCCTGTCTCTAAATAAAAAAAAAAAAAAAAAAAGAGAGAGAGCTGGGGATGTGGCTCAGTGGTAGAGCACCCCTGGATTCAATGCCAGTAACGAAAAACAAATAGCATTCTTTTTAACAGTTGTCTGCTGTTAGCCTATAGAAAAACAATTGAACTTTGGTATGATGATCAAGTGTCCTGAGACTGGTGAATTAAGTAATTTGCAAATTACTTGTGATTGACTTGTAAAATGCTTGGATTTTCTATATACACATCAGATTGCTGGAAAATAAAGACCACTCTTCATTTCCTGTCTTCAGATCATTCATTTATTTTCTTGCCCCATCTCCCTGTTTAAAGTACAATGCTAGATGAAGATAAGAGCATGGTGTGTCTGCAGAGGTCCAGTCTTGGAGAGAGCGTCCAGTGTCCTACTGATGCCTGTTTTTGTGGATACCTATTATCAATGTGACAAGTTCGAATTTCTTTTGCTGAGTTTTTGATCATGATGGGTGTTGGATTTTGTTAGATACTTTCCCCAAATCTATTGAGGTTTATTTGCCACTGCTGGTGTAGTGAACTACATTGGCTGAGGTTTTTTTTTTTTTTTTTCTTTTTTTTTAATCAGGGACTGAACTCAGGGGCATGCGACCACTGAGCCACATCCCCAGCCCTATTTTGTATTTAATTTAGAGATAGGGTCTCACTGAGTTGTTTAGGGCCTTGCCATTGCTGAGGCTGGCTTTTTTTTTTTTAAATATTTATTTATTTTTTTAGTTTTCAGTGGACACAACATCTTTGTTTGTATGTGGTGCTGAGGATCGAAACCGGGCTGCACGCATGCCAGGCGAGCGTGCTACCGCTTGAGCCACATCCCCAGCCCCTGAGGCTGGCTTTTAACTTGCAATCCTCCTGCCTCAGCCTCCCTAGCTGCTGGGATTACAGGTATGCACCACTGTGCCTGGCTTGACTGATTTTTTTTTTTTTATTCTTGGTGGTGCTAGGATTGAGTCCGGGGCCCCTTCATGCTAGGCAAGTGCTCTACCACTGAGCTGCACCCCCAGCCCTTTTTATTTTTATTTGGGGGACAGGGTCTTGTTCAGTTTTCCAGGCTGACCTCAAATTTGTGATCCTCCTGCCTCAGCCTCCTGAGTCGTGGGAATGACCGGCATGTGTCACTGCGCCTGGCTATACTGTCCTTTTTATGTGCTGATGGGCTAATTTGCTGATATTTTGTTGAGGGGTTTTTGTGTCAATGTCTCCCAGAGATATTGGTCTGCCACTTTCTCACATAGTACTGTTGGCAGGTTTGGGGGTCAGGGTTATGCTGACCTCACAGGGCAGGAGGGAAGAGTTCTCACCTCGGTTTTCAGAAAGTTTGTGAAGCTTCTTGTTGTTTCTTCCTTCAATACTTGTGATTTGCCAGTGAGGCTGAGTGCTGGGCCGCCTTTGTGGGATGGCCAGACGGTGGTGCCTGTGTGTAGTGTAGGCATGTACCCTCTGTCCTCTTGGTTTTGAAGGGATTGTCTCTAGCATTTTTCTTGATCACTCTTGCTGGGGATTTATCAATTTTAGCATTTCTTTCAAAACTAACTTTGTTGGATTTTTCCCTATTGATTGTTTTTTGGGGGGTGGGTATCAGGGATTGAACTCAGGGGCACTCGACCACTAAGCCACATCACCAGCCCTATTTTGTATTTTATTTAGAGACAGGGTCTCACTGAGTTGCTGAGCACCTCACTTTTGCTGAGGCTGGCTTTGAATTTGTGATCCTCCTGCCTCAGCCTCTGGAGCCACTGGATTACAGGCATGCACCACTGTGCCCTGCTTCTCTATTGATTTTTACTTTTAATTTACTTCTTTCCACTCTCTTTGGGGTCTATTTTATTGTGTTTTTGTAGCTTTTTCCCCTGTGGTACTGGGGGTTGGGCCCAGGCCCTTGTATGCCAGGCAAGTGCTTACCACTGAGTCACACCCCAGCATGTTTTTCTAGCTTCTTAAGCTGAAAGTTTAGGTCACCGATCCTAAGTCTTAACTTTTTGCCTAACATAGTCATCAGAAACTATAAATTTCCCTCAATGCACTGCCTTAGCTGGGTGTGGTGGTACACACATGTAATCCCAACTATTCAGCAGGCTGAGGCAGGAGGATTACAAGTTCAAGACCAGTCCAGGCAACTTATCAAGATCCTGAATTCAGCTGGGCTCTGTGGCATGTGCCTGTCATCCCAGCAGCTCGGGAGGCTGAGAGGGAGGATCATGAGTTCAGAGCTAGCTTCAGCAATGGCAAGGCACTAAGCAACTCAGTGAGACTGTCTCTAAATAAAATACAAAATAGGACTAGAGATGTGGCTCAGTGGTAGAGTACCCCTGAGTTAAATCCCTGGTACTCCCCTCCCCTCCCCCCAAAAATCCTGAATTCAAAAAAAAAATATATATATATATATATATAAAAAGGGCTGAGGATATAGATCACTGCTAGAGCACTCCTGGTTTCAATCCCTAGCACTGGGGAGTCGGGGGGTGGGAGAGCCAGCAGTTTTAGTTGTAGTCCACCAATTATAATATATTATGCCTGTTTTTATTATACTTCAGTTCAGAATTTTTTTGTGGTGCTGGGGACAGAACACAAGACATATATATATATATATATATATATATATATATATATATCTCCAACCCCAGAATATATTTTACTTTTCCTTGTGACTTCAATTTTGACCCATGGGTTATTTAGAACTATGTAGCTTGATTTCCAAACATTTGAGGATTTTCTATCTAACTTTTTGATATTCATCTGACTTTAATTTCATTATGGTCCAAGACCCCTATGTGGTCTCAGCCATGTGAGATGTCCTAAGCTTGCTGGTGGCCTAGCAGCTTGGTTTCATTTGGTGGGTTGTTCTGTGTTGTGCTAACAGCGTGCATTTCAAGGTTTCCTCCGCCCCACACAGCCCCCTCGGATTCTGCTGTGTGTTCTCGCCCACTCACGCTTTCTCTGGTTGATGGCCATGTGGCTCTGCGGGGAGCAGCCTTGTCCAGTGCCGCACTGCTCCTGCACAGGCCACCTGCAGCAGAGCTGGGAGGGAAGATGTGTGCCTTTACAGAGGTCACCAGCCTCTGCACAGGAGGCTGGCAGGTGCTAGGTGACATTGCCTGTCTCCACATCTGAACCATGATGTACCCCAGTGACTTCGAGGGTTGGACAGTAGAATAGGTGAAAAAGACAGTGACTTATTGCTAAAATAATAAAGGCTCAGAGTTTCTTTTCTTTTCTTTTTTTTATTTATTTATTTATTTTAGTTTTTGGCGGACACAACATCTTTGTTTGTATGTGGTGCTGAGGATCGAACCCGGGCCGCAGGCACACCAGGCGAGCACGCTACCGCTTGAGCCACATCCCCAGCCCCATGGCTCAGAGTTTCAATGTGTGGTTCTTTTATTCAATGAGATTCACATAAAATTTTCTGTATTAAAAAGTTACAGGGCTGGGGTTGTGCCTCAGCAGTAGAGCACCTGCGAGGCACTGCACTTGATCCTCAGCACTGCATAAAAATAAATAAATAAAATAAAGGTATTATGCCCATGTACAACTAAAAAAACGTTATTTATATTTGTTTTCTTTGTGCTCAGATCCTTTGGCAATTTTCTGTTGCAGTGTTATTGTGTGCTTACTTAAGTATTTATTTGTTTACTTACTTATTATCAATATCCTTTATTTGTGTGTGTGCGGGGGGATACTGGGCTGAATCTGGGAGAGCTCCACCACTAAGCTACATCCTCAGCCCTTTTTATTTCTTTTTATTGTTGTTGTTTGTTTAGAGAAAGTGTCACTAAATCACTGAGGCTGGCCTTGAACTGCATCTGGCTGTTTTTTATTTTTTGGTGCTCGGGATTGAACCCGGCCTGTGCATGCTAGGAAGCACTCCACGGCTGAGCGATACCCAGTCAGAAATCTTTTTTTATTGTCAGATTGGTTAGTCTCTTCTTCTGAGCTCGTGTGTTTTCCACCTTGCTGGGGAAAGTGCCCCGTGGAGAAAGTTCCCTTGGACTTGGTGAGAAATCACCGTCTATTTTCTCTAGTGCTTTTGTGGCTTTGTGTTGTCTGATGTCCTGGCCTAGCTAGTTTATCCACCTGTCCCAGCATTGTTTACTGAAGCCTGAAGCTCTGTGGGAGGGTTTTACTGATGAGGTAGAGGGCAGCTCCTGGGGGCAGGCCAGGCCAGGCCAGGCTGCAGAAGACCCCCAGATGCGCTCTTTCCACCCATGTCTCCTAGAAGCCAATCCCGGATCCGACTGCTCTGGGTGAGGGCATCCTGAGGGCAGGACCTGCCTCAGGCCCAACACACAGATGTAGTGTGAGGTCCTGAGAGAGGAGCAGGGCCTAGCAGCAAGAGGTGGGGAGGGCAGAGGAGTGCCCCAGGTGGCCGGGCAGTCAGGAATGCTTTCAGGTTTTATCAGTGCACAACTGTGATCCCCAAAGATGTCAACCAGGGCAGAATAGGGGCGCCTCCACCTGAGATAAAGCTGTGGCCCTGCAGGACCCCCTGGGTTGGCTGGGGCCCCCAGCCCTGGGCCTGGGCCTTGGCACAAGCACGGCCGAACCCAGTAGTGACTGTTGCCCCCCCAGCACTTGGCCACATTCATCATGGACAAGAGCGAGGCCATCGCATCTGTGGAAGACGCCATCCGGAAGCTGGTGCAGCTCAGTGCCAAGGAGAAGGTCTGGGCACAGGAGGTGCTGCTGCAGGTGGACGACAAGGCCCTGCGGCTGCTGGATGTTGAGAACCAGGTCAGGCTGGTGGAGCAGGCTGCTGACTACTGGGCTCCCATGGGTGCCGGGTCTCTGGGGTGAGCATGTGGAAGAGGACGAGGCCAAGGGCCAGCAGGACCAACCTGGCCAGAGCCCAGGCACAACCTGCAGTGGGGCCAGGCTGTGTCCAGTTGCAAGAGGCTCACAGGCTGCAGTCAGCAGGCCTGACTGTGTCCATGGGGTCTGTACTCAAGATGTGTCTGCAGTGTGAGCAGTGTCAGTCCTGTCCCTGGACCTGGTCTGTCCTGCCCCTGCAAATTCCTGCCACGTCTGTGTCCCAGGAGCACATGCTGCTCCATCACACCTCGGGCAGGGCACTGGTCCCTTTCTTGGCCACATCTGTGGTCCATTCCATGCCTGTGGCCACAGCCCACATCTGTGTCCAGGGCCGGCTGAGGCCACGTAACCGCCTGCCCTCTGCCCCCAGGAAGAGCTGGAGAACTTCCCGCTGCCCACCGTGCTGCACAGCCAGACGGTGCTGAACCAGCTGCGCTACCCCTCGGTGCTGCTGCTGGTGTGCCAGGACTCCGAGCAGAGCAGGCCCGACGTGCACTTCTTCCACTGTGACGAGGTGGAGGTGAGGCAGCTGACAGGGGCGGGTGAGGCACCCCGCTGAACCAGCCTGATGCCCCTGTGCCCCCAGGCGGAGCTGGTGCAGGAGGACATCCAGAGCGCGCTGGCTGACTGCCGGATGGGGAAGAAGTTGCGGCCACAGACCCTGAAGTAGGGCCATGGGGACCATGCGGAGCTGGGCTCTCACCAGGGCAGGGAGGGCACCAAGGAGGCAGCTGCCCAGGACTGGGGTGGTGGCCTGCTGAGCAGGCCCTCCTCTCCCCTCCAGGGGGCACCAGGAGAAGATCCGGCAGCGGCAGTCCATCCTGCCGCCTCCCCAGAGCCCAGCTCCCATCCCCTTTCAGCGCCAGGCTGGGGACTCTCCTCAGGCCAAGAACCGCGTGGGCCTGCCAGCACCAGTCACAGAGCCAGGTAGGCCTAGGGCTAGGTCGGGGCTCCCTGTGGGGTCTGCGGGGCTCCCTGTGGGGTCTGCAGGGCCGGCCCCTGGGTAGCTGCTCTGTCCCCACCAGGCTACCGCCGCCGGGAATCGCAGGATGAGGAGCCTCGGGCGGTGCTGGCTCAGAGGATAGAGAAGGAGACGGTGGGTGCCCTCCCACCCCCTGCTGGGCCTTCCTGGCCCCCCCTGCAATGGGCCCAGACGGCCTGTTGCCTGTAGAACAGCCCCAAAGTGGGTGGAGGTCTGAAGCCCACCCCCGCCCTTCTGACCCCAGCAAATCCTCAACTGCGCCCTGGACGACATCGAGTGGTTCGTGGCCCGGCTACAGAAGGCGGCCGAGGCTTTCAAGCAGCTGAACCAGCGGAAGAAAGGGAAGAAGAAGGGCAAGAAGGGGCCGGCAGGTGCGCGGGGGGTGGCGCAGGGCCCCGAGCTGGGGACGGCTGGCCTGGGGGGGCTCAGCATCAGACAGCAAGCAGGGCCCACGAGGCCAGGGCCGGCCAGCCGGCTCATGGCCTCCACCCTGTGCCAGAGGGCGTCCTCACGCTGCGTGCCCGGCCCCCCTCTGAGGGTGAGTTTGTCGACTGTTTCCAGAAAACCAAGCTGGCCATCAATCTCCTGGTGAGTCCAGGCCTGCCCTGTGCTGGTGGTGAGGGTGGAGGTTCCCCCACACCATCTGTCACCTGCCCTCTCCCTGCCACCTGTCACCTGCCCGCTCCCTCCAGGCCAAGCTGCAGAAGCACATCCAGAACCCCAGTGCGGCTGAGCTGGTGCACTTCCTCTTCGGGCCTCTGGACCTGGTGCCTGGGGCTGGGGCGGGTGGGGCGGATGGGGGTGGGGACCCAGGGTGGCCAGCTGTGCAGCTGCAGGCTGGGGCGCCCCTCTGAACCACACCATCCCCCAGATCGTCAACACCTGCGGAGGCCCAGACCTCGCCCGTTCTGTCTTCAGCCCACTGCTCTCCCAGGAGGCTGTGGCCTTCCTACGTGGCCACCTGGTACCAAAGGAGATGTCACTGTGGGAGTCCCTGGGGGACACCTGGACACGGCCCCGGTATGGACAGGGTGAGGGGCAGGGCCTGGACCAGGATGGGGTCCTGGGTGGGCCAGCTCCAGTGGGAGTCTTGGCTGACCCCGGCACTGCCCACCCCAGCTCTGAGTGGCCGAAGGAGCCACAGGTGCCCCTGTACGTGCCCAAGTTCCACAGTGGCTGGGAACCGCCTCTGGATGTGCTGCAGGAGGCTCCCTGGGAGATGGAAGGACTGGCCTCTGACCCCAATGACCAGGTCAGACCCCACCCCTCTGGAGTTTGCCTCCCCAACCGCTGCCAACTGCTGCCCTTGCCACTCCTGGAGCCACAGCTGGGGCTGCCCCAGGCCCGGCCTGCCAGGTCACAGGACGTTCACCAAGTCTTTGTCTTGTGCCCCTTGTCCTGGGACCCTGCCTGGCACTGCCTGGCCTCCACCCGACATCAAGCCCTGCTTTCCCCACAGCCCACCCCTGTGAGCCGACTATCCATAAGAAACTCCCCGAAACACAGTCTCTCCTCTGAGTCCACACCCCAGGGGGATGTCTTACCACCAGTCAGCTCCCCACATTCCCACAGGTAAGCCCCATTACAGGGAGGTGGTGTGACGCCCTCCACAGCATGGACTGGGGTGTGCTGCCACCAGGTGGTGGCAAACACCTCCTTCAAGTGGCTAAAAATGCTGCTTTTCACTCTCAGAACAGCCTGGACAACTTAGGGAGACCAGATTTCAAAATAAAAAGTAAAAAGAGTTGGGGGTGGAGCTCAATGGTAGAACACCCCTGGGTTCCATCCCTAGCACCATAAAAAAAAAAAAAAGAATAGACCCAGGGGCGAACCCCTCTTTGCCTCCCCACTTCTGTATCCTCACTCCTGGCCCAGGGTCTGCCTGGGGCACTTGCAACCTGCAACATCCCAGAATCTGGTTTCAGGAGGGAAGGGGCTGCAAATCCGTATTCCAAACAAGCCCATCCCTTGGCCCACAATGGGCCTGTGGTCCCCAGGTAGAGCTACACAGAAGTGTTCTCAGCAGCTGTCTGTTCACCCTGGCGGCCTCTACCCTGCTCCTCCCAGTGCAGTGGGACCGGGAGCAGTCAGTCCTGTTCTGTGCTCCATCTGCACCAACAGCTCCACCCATGCCCCTGGGGATGTAGGTCCAGACCTCCAGAGAGCCTGCAGGCCAGTGCCCTGGGCAGCACCCAGGGGCTATGGCTCTGAAAATGTCCTGGCCCCTGTGGTCAGCTGGGGAAAGCCATGACCCTGTCACCCCCAGGCACCCAGCTGGCTGACTCCCCTGGGAGCAAGCCTGGAGACCCCTGAGGCAGCTCTGGTGGGCCAGGCCCTGCATCTTGCCCCTCCCGCCCACTCCACCTCCAGGGCTGTCACAGTTTCCATTCCGGGCTGTGAGCAACAGCCCCTCCTCCACTGCAACCTGGGCAGCAGAAGCCAGGCCGCTGCGTGCCTGGGAAGCTGCTGCACCAGTCCCTCTGGGTCCTTGCAGGGGCCACCAGCCAACACCAGCCACGGCCAAGTACGTGAAGATTCTCTACGACTTCACAGCCCGCAATGCCAACGAGCTGTCCGTGCTCAAGGATGAGGTCCTAGAGGTGAGGGGTCAGCCTGACCAGGGAAGGTGACCGAACTGTGGAGCAACGGGATGGGCACAGCCACTGGCCTATTTCCCTAGGGTCCCTAGCTCTGGGTTCCAGCTGGGTCCAGGGGCAGGATCTCCCCGACTCCCAGCCCAGCCTTGCTGAGGGCCCTCCATGTCTGGGGGATCCCCGAGGGTGTGCAGAACCCTTGTGTGCTGGGCAGTCAGTTTGCCAAGTGGGGGGCCCTCCAGTGAACAGAGAAGGGGCTTGTCACTCATGGCCACCCAGGAGCCTTCCCCTGCAGCCACTGTGCCAAACCTGAATCCAGGCCACTCACTGAGGGACAGAAAGTGGAGCAGGCTGGGGCAGGGGGGGTGGTTTACATCCACAGTGAGGCTAGGAAGCATCCTCCGTCCAGGACCCTGCTAAGGCCAGGCAGGGGTAGCCCCCCCCCACCCAGCCAGCACTGAAGCCTGGGGCCAGGAGGCACAGGGGCCTGAGGGCTGAGCTCAGGGGAGACCTGGGGCACTCTCTGCCTCTCTGCAAAGTGTGGCTCATGTGAGTAGTCCCAGCAACCACACTAGTGCCCGTGGCTGGGGAGGGTGGGGGTCTAAGGGCAGGAAAAACGGTAGACCTGATTGCCCCGGGACACCGCAGGTACTGGAGGATGGCCGGCAGTGGTGGAAGCTTCGCAGCCGAAGTGGCCAGTCTGGCTATGTGCCCTGCAACGTCCTGGATGAGGTCCGGCCAGAGGATATTGGTGCCCCACTGGAGCAGGTGCCCGGCTCTGTTCTGCCCTCACAACACAGTCGTTTGCCCCGGGTGGGGTTGGGGGGACAGCTGAGTCTCAGCCTGGGAATACCGCTGCACCCCAGCCCTGGGCCAGAGCCTGTGCAGAGGCTCCTTCCTCTGTCTTGGCCGAGGGAAGGAAGGGCCGGCCCACAAGCCAGGTAGGGGTCTGGGCAGGTCTTCAGAGCACCCACCTCACCACCTGCCCCCGCAGGCCAGCCAGAAATACTGGGGTCCCGCCAGCCCGATGCATAAACTGCCCCCTATCTTCGCAGGGAACAAAGATGGTGAGAGGGCGCTTACATGGAGAGGGAGCAAGGAGGTGCGGGGCGGCCTGGGAGGGCAGGGGGAAGCCAGGGCCTGCGCGGGTCCACGGCTCAGCACAGGCTCCTGCAGAGCTGATCCACCACATGGATGAAGTCAACGATGAGCTCATGAAGAAAATTAGCCACATCAAGGCGCAGCCGCAGCGGCACTTCCGCGTGGAGCGCACCCAGCCGGTGCACCTGCCACTCACCTTTGAGTCCGGCCCGGATGAGGTCCGTGCCTGGCTAGAAGCCAAGGCCTTCAGCGGCCGGTGAGTGGCGGGAGCGGGAGGGCTGCGGGTTTGAGCAAGTGCACGCCAGTGCACACAGCCGAGGTGGCCACCTGCCGCCATGCCCACCCCCGCGCCCTTACTCTCTACCACCCCCAGGATCGTGGAGAACCTGGGTATCCTGACCGGACCCCAGCTCTTCTCCCTCAACAAAGATGAGCTGAAGAGGGTGTGCGGGGAGGAGGGCATCCGCGTGTACAGCCAACTCACAGTGCAGAAGGCGATGCTGGAGGTGAGCCGCCCCGCTCCGGTGCCTCTTTCACAGTACACCCACCTACCTGCTCCTGGGGTGCTGGGAGGAAGTGGGGTCGTGGCCTCTGGCCCCTTGTCTGAGCTCCTCATCCCTTCTCCCTAGAAGCAGCAAAGTGGGTCGGAGTTGGAGGAACTCATGAACAAGTTTCATTCCAAGAACCAGAGGAGGGCGGAGGACAGCTAGACCTGGCTGGACTGTTGCCACCCTTGCTGCAGAGGGAGGCAGCACGGGTGGTGGGCCCACTCCCAGTGCACGGAGTATTATTTTATATGTGTATTATTTTATACTGAGGACTCACATGGGCTGGATGGGGTGCTCATCTGCCTCTAGGCAGTAGGCTTATCTTCAGGCTGAGCCATGCACATGGATGGCCTCTCAGCTGCAAGCCACTCACCCACCCAAACCAAGGCCTCTCCCAGCCAAACCTGCCACCTGGCAGTGCCAGCCTTCATCCATCAGCCCTAGGCCACAGGACTCCCCAGGTGGGCAGGGCCTCTCTGGCCTCCCTGTGCGTGCGTATGTCAGCTCCTGGCCTCCGGAGTTTGACACTCACCACCTGCTGCTTGATTTTATATGCACCTGCTCCCAGCTGTTCCCACCTGTCTCAGGTGGGCCAGAGCTCCAGGCTGGTTAGGCTGGTGACCTGGACTCCAGGTTTGTCCCCCGCAGGATGCTGTACCCCAAAAATGGCCTGCAGGGGCTCCAGGACAGGAAACCATGGTTGCCCCACTGGTTTGGGGCACGCTGTGCCGTAACCCTTTCAAAGTCCAAGGAGCGATGGCTGTCGACACCCACTCCCATCCAGCAGAGCCCAGACAGGAACTTTCTCAGGCCAGCTAAGCGCTGCATGCTGGTGACTGGTGATCTTAGAGCCCTGGACAGAGCATCACATCCAGAAATGAGGGTGGGGGCTCTAAGGCCACATGATTAAACCAGTTTCTCCTGGAAGCCACCTGTCTGTCTCCTGGAGCCTCCTGAAGCTGCACCTCTTTTTTTTTGTTTGTTTTTTGGCGGGGAGGGAACTAGGGATTGAACTCAGAGGCAGTCAACCGCTGAGCACATCCCCAGCCCCATTTCACATTTTATTAGAGACAGAGGAACCTGCACCTCTTTATGAGCTGTCAGGCAGAGGGCTGACCATGGCCAGGTGGAACCTGCCAAGGAAGACCCCTCACCTCTATACCCATCACAAAGGCCCCCAGCGGAGGGGACGTTTCTGAGAGGCGAGGGGCCCAGGAAACTGTCCCCCGCAACACCTACCCACTCTGCTCACTGGAGTCATCCCAGGCCAGATGTCCAGAAGGCCCAAAGCCCATCACCCCGTCTGGCCTTCGTGGAGCACATGCCAGGTGGGAGTGAGCCAGGTTTGCCAGGTCTGCCCAGGAGGGGTGTGTCACAAGTGAGGCTAAAGCTGAGAGAGGCATCAGAAAGAGAGCCTAGAACCTGTGAGTCCCAGCTCACCATCAGCTGGTGGTATCAATGGTTTCTCCTGCACCCTCTCTGGAGTGGGTACTGCCTGCCTGGCCAATATTCACCTGAGCTCGCTTGAGCCCAACTTGGAGGAAGCCTTTGGCACCCTCTGCCGGTGGCTCAGTGTGCTGCACTAGGTGGCTGCCAGAGGTTGCCCCAGCACCGGACTTGGTTGAGCGAAGTGACCCTGTGTCCGAAAGCTTGGGGACCCAATCCTGGGGTGGAGTGGCCTTGGACCCCATCAGGGATCCCAGTGCAATGAGTGGGGCTGACTACAGGGAGCGGGTTGCACCTGGTGGGGCTGAGCTGCAGAGGCTGTGTCCTCTGCTGGTTGAGTAGAGGCCTGGCCCCTGGGCCTCCAAAGCCCTGCCTCACGTCCCAGGCAGGCATCTTGAGCCTAGTGTTTCCTGCAGGATATGGCCAAAGGGAACTGGGGACGTCCATGTCCTTTGAACTATGAACTGGATGTGGCAGTCACCTCCCTCTAAGGCGAGCAGAGGTTGCTTTTGCCTTGGCTAGGACCCCATAGATAGGGAGCTGGGCCTAACAGGCAATGGGTTAGGGACGGGTTTCCTGCTTGGCAGACTGCTCTTTCAAGAGATGGTTGGGCCCTGGACTCCACCTGCTCCAAAGAGACCTCTGTTGGACTAGGGATGCTTGACCTTGGGGGTTGGATGGAAACCACCAGGCCTTCGCAGCCACTCCGCAGGATCTCCCACCCACCTGTACCAGCAGGGCTAGTCCTGCACCAGCCTGGTAGGGGTTCTGGCTGCTGTCTCCAGGCTGGGTCACAGCGCCCCCCCAGGACTTATACCTGCTTCCTCAGAAGCTCCCTCCCCATGCTGCTCCCTGAACAGCTGAGGAGGCCCTGAGCACCAGACCCATAGGCCTAAGCCAGCCCCCACTCAGGAGCAGCTGGTTTGGAGGTACCCTGGCTTGACCTGCAGGCTTAGGCCTCTGGGCTCCCAGGATTCGTCCCAGTGTTTTCTTTTTCTTTTTTTTTCTTTCTTTCTTTTTTTTTTATGTTAAGATTTTTTTTAAAAAAAGTCTTTATTTTATTTATTTATATGTGGTGCTGAGGATCGAACTCAGGGCTTCACGCATGGTAGACAAGTACTCTACTTCTGAGCCACAACTCCAGCCCTGTCCCTGTGTTTTCCAAGGGACTTTCCACCACTTTACATGACCCTCCTCAAGAGCAGGACAGAGCCACTGACCCCATCCGCCCAGTAGTGGGTCAAAGATCATACAGTGTTAGGACAGTTGGTCCTGCACGCTACCTTGGCTGCTGACCCTAAATGTGAGGCTGTCACTCTCCAGGGTCTGCAAACTAGAGGGTGACCATTTATTTATTTTTAAATTTTTTCTTGTAGATGGACAGAATGCCTTTATTTTATTTGTGTATTTTCATGTGGGACTGAGGATCAAACCCAGTGCCTCATGCATGCTAGGCAAGCGCTCTGCCGCTCAGCCCCAGCCCCAGCCCCCGAGGGTGCATTTATAACCACACACTGAACACTGGCCATAGCATTCGGGTGGACTTAGCAGCACCCTGAGATGCCAGCCTGGACCAAGCACAAGACACAGAGGAACCAGGTTACCTAACTGGGATTCAAATGCAATTTCCCTCATTCCAACAGGCTCATCCTTAACCACTCACCCCACTGGCCTCCCCTCCCCTACAGGTCAACAGGAAGGAGGGGGTGTCTGGCAGTGCCAGCCCCAGTGGGGCCCAGGCAGAGGATCTGATCAAGGAGGAGGGGAGGGGTCACCCACACTGGGCAAGATTCTGATCCCAGATCTGCGGGGGGAGGGGGCTCCAGTCACGCACCCAGCAACACCCTTTTGTGGATGGGATTACCAGGGGCCATCACTCTGTGCCCCAGCTGTGCCACCAGCAAACAGCTCCACAAACAAGGCCTGCCTGTGTCTGGGAACAAGTGTGTCTTTGTGGCCGTGGCTGTGCACCCCACCCTCCCAGCGGGCCTCAGCCACTTGTGCCTACTGGGCCACCCAGAAGGCTTCCCACGCTCTTCCCAGAGGGCTCCCCGGACCTTGGCAGAAAATGCAAAATGGTGGTTAGGGGAACAGCACAAGTGGCCAGATGCCCCAGCACGGGGGCTCCTGTTCTGTGGGGTGATGGTGCTGCTGGCCTCAGGAGGGGTCCCTCTGGGGAGGTGCTGCTGGGGAAAGGCTCTGTATGTGGAGAAGCAGCGGCTTCCCACTGCCTCACAGCAGCGGTGAGCCCAGAAGCCCTGGTGTGACGTGTGTGTGTGTGTGTGTGTGTGTGTGTGTGTAGAACATCTTGAAGGATGCAGGAAGACCTCCTGTGCAGACTTGAGAGAGGAGTGGAGTGCCACTGTCATCAGAGCTCAGGGCTGGCTGTCAGCAGACCACCGTGCGGGCAGGGTGCAGACCAGCAGCAAAGAGCTTCGCGTTGGTTCACCCCACAAGCTTGCAGGAGGCTCTGGGTTCAATCCACAGCACCGCCCAAATCAACAAGAGCATAAGTTTTGGGGCCTGGCTGCTCATTTTCCGTATTGTGGTAAAATGCACATAAGTGAATTTGTGCTCTCGGCCATTTTCAGGTACAAAGTCTGGGGCACTCAGCACCTTCACTCCCCAAACTGACCCTGTCCGCAGCAAATGCTGATTCCCGTGCTCCTCAAACTTTGTGCTCCAGCCTGCTCTCTGATTGCCGCTCGAGGGGCCTCAAGCAAGCAGAACCACACGGTGTTTGTCCTTCCATGCTTTCTTCACTCAGCATGGTGTCCTCAAAGTGATCTGTGTTAGTCACCCGCGATTTTCTTCCTTTTTTTTTTGGTACTGGAGATTGAACCCAGGGCACTCTACTACTCAGCTACATCCATAGTCTCCCCCGTTTTGTTTTTTTTCTTTTTTTTGAGACAAGTTCTCAACTGAAGTTGGCCAGGCTGGCCTTGAACTTGTGATCCTCCTGCCTCAGCCTCCTGGGTCTCCGGGATTACAGGTGTGTATCATTGTGTCCTCTTGCTCCTGGGTTATTGACCTGCAGAAACTGAGAGGTAAGAAATGATTGTCGCTGCCAGGTGTGGGAGTGCACACCTATCCGTAATGCTGGCTACCTGGGAGGCCGAGGCAGAAGGATTGCAAGTTCCAGGCCAGCCTCTGCAACTTAGTGAAACCCTGACTCTGATAAATAAATAAAATAAAAGGGGCTAGAGGCCTAGCTCAGTGGTAGAGCACTCGGGGTTCATTCCCAAGTACCACAAAAAAAAAAAAAAGAGGAAAGAAATGCTTGCTGCTGTTCTCTGCCTGTCTTGGGGTCACTGGTTAAGCAGCCACAGGTAACTGACACACTGGCCTTTTCCGACGTTAGCCCAGCACAGCGCCTGGCCATTTGCTGAGCAAAGAGGTGGATGTGGTAGTGATCCTGGACTTGTCATCCCCTCAGCTATTTGTCCCATTTTCTGTCCCCTTCTTTGATTCCCTGATCTGGCCTGCCAGGGCCTTGTGGTGGTCATGGTCTGGCTGGCACAGGAGTCCCAGACCCTCCCTATGCATGCCCAATATGTGGACACTGCCCCAGGGCCTTCTTCAGATGGCTTTCCCAGGTGGCCCTCCCACGAACGGTGCCCAACCCATTCCCAATAGGATGGGAGCTCCTGGCTGGGCTCCTTGGAGAGAGTGGTTCCTGCTGCCCATGACCTGCTCTCTCCGATATACCAGGGTTGGGACATTGAGGGCATCCTGGGAGGAGCTGTCCATGTGGACACTGAGCAAGATGGGCCAAGTGGCGCAGCTAAGCACGGCAACTCTGGAGCACCAGGCCCACTTACAAGTCCTTGGCAGGTCCTTGGCTGCCGCCCTCCATGGCTCCTGTGCTTTCCTCCTCCTCCTCCACTGCTTCCCGCACGGAAACCTGGCTCTGTCTCCTGCTCCTGGTTACAGAGCTGGGGTGTAGCTCAGCAGGAGAATGCCGGCCTAGCACATGGGCCCTACATTCAATCCCCAGTGCCACAAAAAAGCCCAGAACACTAGTTACAGGAGGCCATTGTTTAGGACCCAGCTGCTGTACCGGACCCCCAGAAACCAGTCTGAACACCAAAAGGAGGCCACTCAGTGAAAGTTCCACATGGCCAGGCTAAAACCCAGCTGTTATCTGACCTTCCTGGAATCAGGAGCAGAGAGATTCCGCCACATTCCCAAGCAGGCCAGCTCCTATGGCATGACAGAGCTCACCCGACACAAACATGAAACCCATGCTAACCCAGCAGGCATTTCCCCACTGCTGTCTCCCATGGGTCCCTGCAAGGACAGGAACCTCCCAATAACCCAGCTGTTTCTGCTTCCCTCAGCTCTTCCCTGTCTATGAAGCCTACCTGTCCTGCTCAGCCTCTTGGCACATGAATTCTGGCTTACAGAATGAAGTGTTGCCCAGCTCTGATATTGAAAATAAAGCCCATTGAGATCTGTAAAACTGGGCTGGGGGTGTGGCTCAGC